GACCCTGTACAGGGTTTCCAAGGCTGTAAATCTTTACGGGAACAGAAAGCCTCATCTTTCTCCCGCGGAACAGCTGGTAGTTTCGAACTGCTGACCTTGCAGTTCGTAGCCCGATTCGTAACCACTACGCTACCAGACCTCCTTCACATAGTGCTCAGTTACATAGTTTTTATTATTATTATTGTCCACACCACTCCTGTAGGACAATACCAGGACATAAAAGGCTCAATAAACATCAGTTCTCTTCTCTGTCCCTTCTCTAAAATAAATCAAGCCCAAACTACTTTTCTTCCTGCATTGCTGTTATTGCTGTTGTGAAGTGCCATCAAGTCAGTTCTAACTCATAGCGACCCTGCTCAGGGTTTCCAAGGAACAGCTGGTGAGTTTGAACCACTGATCTTGCAGTTCAAATCCACTTTACAGTCCAGCACATTAACCCACAGAGCCACACCAGGACTCCATTAGGGAAAGTATATATTGTTTTGTAGATATTCACCCCACCTCTGTCACTGAACTATTTATGGATAAATATAACACCATTACAACAAATTTAAAGCACACTGTGATGAGTACAAACTCTAGCTTCAGAAAAATATGAATTTGGATTCTAGCTCTACCACTTACTACTTGTGTGATTTTACCTTTGCTAAACTTAATAAGACGCAAATCCAACTATGGACTAACTAGCAGCTGTGTGCTATACTACAGACCTTTGATAACTGTAAAAATACAAATACTTCACACATACAACTTGGTGAATTTAGTGATGTACAGCTTTTACTCCAATGGGCATAAAGCCAAAGGACAAAAAAGACACACAGAAGGTATGGACCACTTTACAAGATGAAGCTTTCAAAATGCAGCCACTGGCAGAAATCAACATAAGAATTTACAACTCTATCATGAGCATATCCTGCTCAGGCAAAGGAAATAATAGGAATGGTAAAAATTGTTAAGTTTTGCACATAAAAGATGTAATGAGAGTTACAACTGTTATACAGATACTAAAGTTAAAAATACCATTAAAAGTTGCCCAGAAACCCAGAATGACACTTACACAGGTGTTAAGCAGTTGTAGTGGATGACAACACAGCACCAAAGGATCTCTGGTGCTCAAGAATACATCTGTTTGTTCCCTGGAAATACCACCCTCTACCCCCTCCATCTGAAAGCAAGCTATGTTAATGGGTGAAAGATGGTGTAATCATTCTACATATACTTTTGCCTACATATACTTTTAACACCTGATGGCTAGAAACCTCAGGAGCAGAATAACTAAACTGCTATTATTTTCTTTTTTAACTCTCAAACTGAGTTCTGAATTTATACTTGTGCACTATTTATACTTTTTTACACTAAAAAAAGGAGGGAACAAGGAAGGTATAAATTGTTCTTTTTTGACTAAGAGGATGAAAATGATAAGTCAAAATAACCGGTACGTTATCCTATATGGCTATTTTATTGGGAGAAAGGGCCAGGTAAGTTTCTTATTGTTTGCTTTTTATGAATTCTTAGACATACCAGACAGTCTGGCCTCTAACTTCCGTATCTGTTCATTCCTTCTTAAAAGTTGGGATGAAAGATCTTCTCTGGAGCTGCTTCCATCGGAAGTCTGTTGAGACAGACACATGGAGAGTGTGAGACCAAAGTACTGACTAGTAAGGCAGACAACTCTTATTTTCAGTTAAACTATCTGTGATCACTGAAAAGCTTATTGATGCAACTGGGTCTTAACTTCACCTGTAAAATGGGAGCAACTCTATCCGCTCCCTCTACTGTAAGGGAGACATAAGAATGATACACAGATAATAAGTTATACACACAAACACTCTCTCTCTTTCT